AATGCCCGCCTCATAAAACCATGTAGCAAGATAATACGCAGCTCTATCTCTCTCTTCCTTCTTGATTCTATTTTCAATGGTCGTTTACTTCTTTGTTTTCTCTCCTGCAACCTCAGGGTTAGGCCGAAGTAAAAAACTATCATAGGGCCTCGTACACGAGGCTTCTTAGTCTCAGAACCAGAAGGAATTACAACTCCCTTTCCCTTCCCCATAATAATGGATTGTTCAACTTGTTGACATCCCTCCCCAATGCTTTCCTCATCACTATCATTATCATCATAATTGACCCCGAACCCTAGACCTAATATCTATTGTAGAGGCAAATCTCTCATCTTTTTTCTTGTTTACTATGTTAAAAAAATTGTTTATTTTCTCTTTAACAGCATCAGGAGTCATTTTACATGGGGCAACATCCGCCTTGTTACCGGCTAGATGTTGTTGACCCTGTTTATGCCCCCTTTTGTATCCTTATCACAAAACTTGCATCTTATGCAATTTTTATCATTAGGATCTGGGTTACAGCCATATTTCCAACCGGGATCTCCACTTCTATTAGATCTCGAAGAAGACATCTAAAAAATAATGCAATTTACTAAAGCAATAAAAAAAAATCGCTTACTTTGAGTTTGATTGCTCAATCTTCAAACTTCCATCTCAAAGATGCTTCTAAATACTCAAACTTTTCTAAGAAACCCTCTAATAACTTTGCAAAACAACAAAAAGTAAATCTAAGATCAATGGGTGATGTTTTAATCAATTTTTGTTAACTTTGACAAATCCTTCAATCCTAAAAAATTCACCAAAAACTAGTTTTTTGGGAGCTTTCTCTCTCTAAAATTGGCTCCAATAAGTTTTAGGTTTCAAATGAACCTAAAACACTAATTGTTGGCTCTTTAATACAAAAAAAAAGTAATCAAAATTGTCCCCACCGAAACTTATTTCTGCCCCTGGGCGGCTGCCTAGGCGGGTTCCATACCGCCTAGGGTCGACCGCCCAGATTGGCCGCCTAGGCCTAGGCGATGCACCCAGGCCTTTCGAACCGCCTAGGCGCTGGGCAGTCCACTTTTTGAATCACTGCCTGTAAATGTGCATAATATCGTCATAAATCGAAGCAAGGTAGCAGGAAGGGGGGCATTTCCAGCAGCCCAAGTGATAATGTTTTTGGCATGTCCTTCGATGATCAGTGGTAGTCCCCGTGTGGGGTCTAACATTTTGAGACTTGAGAGGAGAGCCACAGACTCGGCAAGCTGGGATGGCCAATATACTTGGAAAAAGAGGCCTAGATGTTGCCGTGGTGGTCTTTGAAGACCCACCGCTCTTGCTGGTCCAGGTTTCTTAGGGAACACTCGTCAAAGTTGAGTTTAGTGAGGCCTGCGGGGGTAGGAGACCAGTTGTTAGCTCGTGAGACTCGAGGGCAGTGGAAATGAAGAACATTTTCCCAATTTTGTAGGAATGATGAAGCCGAAATGCCAGTGAAAGCCTTGTGGTTGGAAGCCTAGAAAATGATGTAAGAGGTAATTTTGTGGAATAGGGCTGAAGCGTCGCTCTTGACACCTCGGAAGATCCTTGAGTTTCTTTCAGTCTAGATGACCCAAATTGTTGCTACTATGGAGGCCTTCCATAAAAATCTGCTGCCCACCTTTGGCCATGGAGACTCCATCGAGAAATTATGGAGGGCCGGTAGGGAAGCAGGAGTAACCCAGGTGAGGCCGAAAAGATGGAGAAGTTGACTCTAAAGGTTGAGGGCAAGGTTGCAATGGATAAAAAGGTGGGAGTTTCTCTCTTCTTCGCAAAGACACATAACACAACGATTGGAATGGGAATTCCCCTTCGTTGTAGTTGGTCAACTGTGAGGGCTTTTTTTGAGTTTTTCTGTCTTGTTTATGTTAATTGATAGAAGATATCCTTTTCAAGTTGTGGGGTTTGGAGAATTGACCTGTATGGTGTTTTTGTTGTTGTTTGACTAGGATTAGATCTTCTTTAAGAATTGCAGATTCGTGTTATTTGATGGGCTACTATTTGGGAGAGTCTAATTCCTGAACTTATTCTAGGTTTAGAAGATGTTTCTAGAATCTGTGATTGTCATGTTGAAATCAAGATGAAAAATGGAATGGAAAAGTGATGTTCTGATGTGATCATTGTCCCAACAATCACTTGTAATGTTCAGGTAGAAAGTATTAATTGCATTTGTTTTTATAGGATGGATGTGGAAGTCCAAATTTATTTGTTAGGAGCAGGGTTTTAAAAAAATGCCGATTCACATCGAATATTGGTGGGGACTGTGCTGGTTCCCTAATTATATATTATCATTTAAGTGAGTTCCTTAACAAAAGACTACTAGGTCCATAGTTTGTTCAAATGGCTATTCGATTTTAGTTTATATGCTGTTTGATATACCACCTGCCTCGTGGTTCAAATCCTCTCTCTCTCTCTCTCTCTCTCTCTCTCTCTCTCTCTACTACTACTACTACTACTACTACTTACTTACTACTACTCTACTACTACTACTACTACTCTCTCTCTACTACTACTACTACTACTATACTATATATATA